GGGGGGGGAAGCCAGTGTCTGTGCGTGTGTTTCTGTGTAAAAGCATCTTCAATTTCTGAGTACCTCATATTCATTATGTTCGTGCCTTTTTTTCTGGTTTTTGTTTCTAGCTTATTATGCTGTTGTAGATTTATTCGAGTTTGATATCGACATTTTTGTTAACTGAACACTGACATTGTTTTCTTAGGTAAGAATGTGTGGGCTTTGTCCCTCGAGTCGGAACGCCATGGACGCCTTGAGATGGCCACAGCAGAAGTCAAAATTCCCTCCCGCCCTCAGGAAAAGACCCAGGCAGCGGGCGCCTCCGTCTGCCGGCACCGGAAGTTGCGTCACATGTGTCAGGTGTGCTGTGACAACTGGGTGGGCACGCCCACCGCCCCTCCTAAGAAAAAGCACTGCCGCTCTTTGTCGGTGCCGCCAGAGGGACCTGTCTCTCTGCCCACCCCAGGGAAAGAGCCCGGTGCTAAGATCTGGAGGCCCATCGCTGTGATCCCACTCAGCAACAGCGCCACAGCCAGTGCTCTCAACCACAACAACGCCATCAACAACAACAGCATCCTACCCGCCACCACCACCACCACCAGCTGCGTCGGCAGCAGTAGCAGCAACAATAACTCCATCCTCCTCGCCCGCCAGGACAGCAAAGACAGAGACTTTGTGTACCCCAGCAACGCTATGTCAGCCATGGTGTGCCCTCCCTTCAACGAGTCGTCAGTTACCACAGGCAAGTGGTTGCCCCGGCTCACCTCCTCTGGTGGTTTCGTCAAGCTTCTGCCGCCAAAGTCGTCCGCCTCGTCCCCATCTGTGCCCTCTTCGCCCAGTGTGGACAGCGGTCACTTTACCACATCGGACTTGCAGACGCCACCGGGCTCCCCCGTGCCCCGACCGGCCTCGGCGGCCTCCAGCGACACCTCCTCCTTCAGCTCGCTGGGATCGCCCTGGCTCGAGTACAGCCCGCTGCGCGGCCCGCGCGTCCGCGTACTGGAAAACCGCAGTCTTTCATTGGAGGACAGAATCTCCGGCTCCGCCTCCTCCGCCGCGTCCACGCCCAGTTTCCACTCGGGATTCGACCCGTCCCACCGGTGCCGGAGTAGCAGCAGCCAGGACGGGGCCGGGGAAGGGTGTGGCGAGGTGGGGGGCGGACCGTGTGGCGGACTCGGCGGGATCATCCCACGATGCCACTCGCAGCCCTGCGTGCTGCACCACCGCCGCTGTGGCAAGAAGCGGCGCCGAGACTGTGATAATCGACCCAACCTCAACTTTAACAAGATGACCGAGGTAGGCCCTTAACTGTGAGACTTTTAGTGGTATCCAGTAGTTCTGTAATGTGGATGTCTTACTGTCATATCCAGGGCTTAGCTATAGGCTGATCTCGAAGAAAGGGTGCATCCAGGGTGCCCTGGGGTCGAGAAAAGCGAGGGAGGCGGCAATAGTATTTAAAAGGGGTTCTCGGAATTAGTGAGTGGCTAAAAGAGGCATCTCTCACATGGGCCTGATAATAATATCCTTGATCTTGTTCTTGTTTGTTTTGGGTTGCTTTTTTGGGGGGAGGGGGGGTGTAACCCCCATTTTGGGTCATTTGGAGATGGAGCACTTGGTTCCGTCCCAAGACTCTGGGCACAGAGGAAATGGTCCTGAAAAGAGTACGTGAATGTTCTACTATATTATCTCTTTTGTAAGCAAAATTACCCTTTGTTAAAAATGGATGAAGTTGACATTTTGGGGGTACGTGTTGGAAAGCTAAGAGTGGAGTTTTCTGGTGATCCCGTTTCTGGGAAAAGATTGGGTTGAGTTGCTCAAGAGAATTCGTGAAAACCAAGGTTTGATGCTTATATTATTGAATTCAAGAGATGGTCTATGGTTCTTTATTTAGCACAGCGACAGCTACAAGAAAAGAACAGACTAGAGATTGGTGAAGATGTTGGGGAGTCTTAGACTTTTAGGGGGTTGGGGGTGTTTTTTGTGGTGGATATTTTTCCCTTGCTTTTTTAGGGGAGAAAAAAAGGAGGCGAGGGGGAAGATGTTTTGTTAATTTTTCTCTTTGTGTTACATTTGTCGATTTTTTTAAAAACAAGAGCTGAGGGGGCTCATGAGTTTAGTTTGTAATTATATTATTTCAAATATTTACATCATCTTTTCAAAGCGTAAGATGCGTCTTTGGCAAGTGGACACACGTTGCCCTGTATGGAGTGAATTTCCCAGAGAGCTCTCTTCCAAGCAGATCTGGCACGTGGAAGCAGGCTATTAATCTAGCCGCTACGTAATCGTAATCACTTTGGCCTCCGACAGACTTTCGGGGTCATTACTACACGCGCGCTTCGCGTGATTGGGGCTTTTCGGGTTTTTCCCTCCTCTTTCATTTTCGTTGTCTCCACTCTGTTCCTTTTTTTTCTATCTCCCCTCGTCTTCTTATTTCGCTGGCAGCGATGCCCCAGTGAGCACGGAGCAAGTAATAATAACTTAAGTCGGACTGATTGTTGTGGGTCCCGGTAGAACCATGCTGGTGGTCGGCCGGCTTGTATTTCTCCTACGCTCTCCCAGTAATCCGCTTTGCTTCCTCGTCGGTCTTGACCGAGTTACTATGATATGCTGCATGCACTGGGATAGCCCCTGAGTGCCGGTACCGGGGCATATATTATTCTAATGTTCACTTCTAGTTTTGTTCTACGGGTTGTAGGTCAATGAAGGGCGCCACACATTATGTCTTTTTTCTGTTGATGCGGAGAACCGCTTCCATCGTTTTCAAATGTTTTACTGTTCTTCTGAGCCTTTATTGTGAGAACACTGTTCCGGGAGATTTCCCTCCCTCTCCGTCTTTTAAATACATGAGGGGCTTCTTGCTTTACATCTCAGCTCAAAATATCATTATGTTGCTATTTGGCCAAACGTTTAACATCTGCATTAGCTATGTATTGTTTCCATAGAATGGATTGTTGCTTGGATGAGAAAGAGTGGTGGGGGTGGGGCGGGGGATATCCAATAATCTAATTATAACGTTAGAATTTCGGAGCCTCAAAGGGAATTTCTTAACCAATAATGTTCCAAGTAGCTCGTTCGCTTCGCCATTGTTCGTACCTTTTGCTACCATGTGTAGCCACCTTTGCTACTATATTTAGCTATCATGCACGTTTATTCGCAGAGTGTTATTTCGCCTTATCGGTGTACGCCTGCGGTGTAAATGCGTTACGTTTCCGTTTTGGGCTCACCCTCAAGGTTTTCATTGGGTCATGACGTAACGGTATTCACTAGAAAGAAGAGCCCTTCCACCGATCTGGTGCTCCTTAGTTTCCGTCCAAAAGTTGGTTCGACGGGATTTTGCATCAACGGTAGAGGAACACGCAAAATATGCAAAAGAAGATCTTTGGAGTTTGTGAAAGGAAATGGAAAGCAAGTGAGGAAGCGTAGAGAAGGAGATTGAAGAGGGGACGGGAATTTTTTTAACCTTTTTTTTTTTT